GGGGGCCGAGGTGTTCTGGGCTCTGGTGACATGATTGGGTTGTTGTTTCGGGGAAGTTGCAGAAATTTCCCCCGCAGTCATGAATCCTCCGTCAGGTATTTGTTCTCTGTCGCCCTCTTCCTGGATGAGACTCGCCCGGCTGGTTCGCAGTATTTGGGTTGGGTGTGATCCAAGGACGGGAGTTCCCGAATCTCAGAGTCACTTAGTGTGAGATAGAACTTCAAGACTCCCCATCTCCTGGGGGGACCCGTACCGGGGGAGGGGAGGCGCTCTGTAGCCCATAACTGATAGCAGTCAGTAGGATATGATGAGATCACAATGGAGGACACAGAAGGCCACTGATGGGGCTCATTCACAGCGTGCGCCTGACAAGACACGCCAACGCATGCAGCCGAAAACTGCGCAAAGCTCGCACGAGACTCTTCAATACGTTTGTCAGTCCATTGTGTCGCCTTATGAGGAGCGCGTGGTGACTGCCAGAAAACGCACCACGTGCGTTCGCACTTCCACACACACACGAAACAGTAAAAATCCGCCATAAAAAAAAAAGGCGAACGCTCTAATTGCAGCGCACGGCGGGACGCATTCACACCACGCTGCCGTACACAATGACGCAGGCGCGCTCCAACGTAGGCTTCCTGTGGGCACGTTTTATGGATCACACCACAGCGTCCCGGGAACATGCGTCACATTCCCACCCTCATGCTCGTTCGTGTGCCGTGTTTACCGCCCGTCCCAGTTGAGATAAGGTGGGAGTCCTGAACGCGCGGCAAAAAAACGCGGCAAACTTTCCGATTACGGTTTCCGCATTTGTGCGCGGCTTAACCCCTTGGTGACCAGTGACGTCCATAGTACGGCCCCCGGAGGCTGAAGGCGCCGGGACTCTGTTTACAATGGGAAAGCGGACCGTCGGCTTTACAATAGAAGTGATCAGGCGGCTCAGCTGTCTCCCCGATCGCTTCTCCGGGCCGGTAAACGTGACGCCCCCCTCCCCCCGCCCGACACCCCCCGCCATGTTTCCTCCGCTGCCTCTCCCACGGGCCCGGGACCG